GAGCCAAATTAACCATTTTAAAGTGAACAATCCAGGCTGGGTGCAGTGGCTCATGCCTATAATCCTAGAACTCTGGGAGGCTGAGGTGGATTGATTGCTTGAGCTGAGGACTTTGCCACCAGCCTGAGCAAGAGCAAGAGCAAGACCCTGTTTCTACTAAAAATAGAAAAACTAGCCAGGCATGTGGCAGGTGCCTATAAGTCCCAGCTATCTGGAGACAGAGGTTGCTGTGAACTATGCCACCTGGCATTCTACCCAGGGCAATGGAGTGAGACTCCCTCTCAAAATAATAATAATAATAATAGGGTGGCTCCTGTGGCTCAGTGAGTAGGGTGCCAGCCCCATAGACTGAGGGTGGTGGGTTCAAATCTGGCCCCAGCCAAACTTTAACAGAAAAATAGCTGGGTGGGTGGCATCTACGGCTCAAAGGAGTAGGGTGCTGACCCCATATGCCAGAGGTGGTGGGTTAAACCCAGCCCCAGCCAAAAACTGAAAAAAAAAAAAAGCTGGGCATTGTGGTGGGATTGTGGTGGGTTCCTGTAGTCCCAGCCACTACGGAGGCTGAGGCAAGAGAATCGCTTAAGCCCAAGAGCTGGAGGTTGCTGTGAGCTGTGATGCCACAGCACTCTACTGAGGGTGACAAAGTGAGACTGTCTCTCTAAAAAATAGTAATAATTAAAAAATAAAATGAATAATTCAGTGGCATTTAGTGTTCAAAATATTGTGTAATCATTACTTCTATTTAGTCCCCAAACATTTTCATCGTCCCAAGAGGAAACGCCATGGCTATCACAGTTACTCCCCATTCCTTCTCCCAGACCCTGGCAACCACTAATCTGTGTTCTCTATCTATGGATTAAGCTATTCTGGATATTTCATATAAATGGAAACTCATAAAAATCTTCTATGTCTGGTGTTTTTCGCTTAGCATGTTTTTGAAATTATCCATGTCGTAGAATATATCAGAAATTCATTTCTTTTTATGGCTGAATAATATTTAATGGTATGGATACTCCACAATTTGTTTGATCGTTTATTTATTAATGGACAAATGGGCTGTTTTCGCCTTTTGTAAACAGTGGTGCTATGAACATGTCTGTACAGGCATTTGTCTGAATATCAGTTTTTAATTCTTTTTTTTTTTTTGAGACATAGAGACTCAAGCTTTCCCCCCTAGGTACAGTGCCGTAGCATCACAGCTCACAGCAACCTTCAACTCCTAGGCTCAAGCAAGTCTCCTGCCTCAGCCTCCCAAGTAGCTGGGACCACAGGCACCTGTCACAACACCCTGCTATTTTTTGGTTGCAGCCATTATTGTTGTTTGGCGGCCTGGGCTGGATTTGAACCCACCACCTTAGGTGTATGTGGCTGGCATCTTAGCCACTTGAGCCACAGGCGCTGAGCCAGTTTTTAATTCTTTTGGGCATATATCTAGAAGTAGAGTCACTGGGTCATATGGTAATTCATTTGAGGAGCTGAAAAACTGTTTCCATGCTGGGTGAACCATTTTCCATTCCCACCAGCAATGTATAAGGTTCCAATTTCTCCATATCCTCAACTACTCTTGCTAGTTTTTCAGTTTCTTGATGATAGTCACATAGTGGGCATGAAGTGGCACCTCACTGTGGTTTTGATTTCCATTTTCCTATTGACTCATGATGTGGAGAATATTTTCATGAGTGCTTTGCTCACTTTCATATCTTCTCTGGAGAATATGCAGGTTCTTTTGAAGGTTATTGCATAGAAGCTAGCCAAATTAATAGACTGTAGTTTCTACGTTACTTTCTATATCTACAAGAACTATTTAGTTTTTAAAATTAGTATTTCAGAGGCATCATTAAATCATAATGTAAAAATTCATCTTGGATTTCCTTTTTTCCCAGGTTCCAGACCTTCCATAGTCCTATTCCTGATACAGCTCATTCATTTCTACATTTCTTTTTTTTTTTTTTTTTTGAGATGGAGCC